CCATAATTTGATTACATCCAATATTGGAATTGGCTTCCTTGATGATGGCAGAAGAGATGAGGTATTTGCCCTTTAGTTGCCCTACAGTGCCACCTTTTGTTTTGAAGGCTGCATTTCCACTGTAGGTCTGGGATGTCTTGTAACTTCTTAATTTAGAAATTCTTTAGATTAGCAACAGTCCCAGTTTTAGGAAAAGCAGTCAGTTGTCCCCCCCCCCCCGTATACCAAATGAAATGATAAAATCCAAGACAGTGGGGATACTTTCTGAGCACCATCTGCATATGTATCTCTATTCTGCAGTGTGAGAATCATCAGTATAGAATAACTCGGAAAAGTACAGTTCCTGATTCCCATCCTGCCGTGTTCTTGAGCTTCCCGTTGATGCTGATTCCTCAGGACTCCTCAAGAACAGGTGCGATGGGTTTCTTGGATCAGAAAGCTGCTGCAACCAAGCAAATTGGATCCAAGGTCCTTTTCTACGTGTGAACATGGAGGGATGAGCAGAGAACCGTGAGGCCTGGCTGCTCAGAGGCTAGTGGTCCAGGAACCTGCTGTGCCCTTTCTTCATGGTATTCCGGAATATGCATCCGTCACTCCCTGCACAAGAAGGCATCTTCTGATGCGGAGCATTTTCCGGGGGCTGGCTTTTAAGAGAACAGCTACCCTGGGGTTCAGAGGGGTTAGCAAGGTGTCTGAGATCATTACACTGGTTGTGCCCAAGTGTAATTTTCCAGACTGACCTCCCATTTGTGTTGCTGCAAACAAGGATCACGTGAATGAGGATGCTGGGAATCATAAACAAGCGCAGAGGAGGGGGTCTCTGGTGAAGAAAGATATAAGATGTGAAAAAGGGGTGAACTGATTTATTTCTGCACAAAGACTTCTTGTAACACAAGGTATTCCATGCTTAGGCACCTTTGAGTTATGGCAGGGATGGGAGTTAATTGATATGAAATTCCAAGTGCAAGATAAAGACCCCCTAACTAAGGAAAGATAAAACTGACCATTACAAGTGTTCAAGGTCTTGGGAGTATCCAAACACAGGTGGCCCCCCCTTACCATGGTAACAATTTGCATCAGAAGTGGCTGAAATTTGCTATATAAACTGGAAGTTTTGTACCTGTATTTCGAACAGTACTTTGGTCTTATTGTTCCTTGCATGCAATAAACTCAGTTACTTAAACGTCATCTCAGGTTCCAGAACTTATTTGTCTCCACTGGGCTGAGGGTTATTAAAGGCTTCATGCTGCTGGCAATATTATTTCTGCTCCTCCTGGTGCCACCTGTCTGGGTTTTGCTCGAACAGTCTGGTAGTGCAGGTGGGAACAGCTAATAAGCTCTAAAGTCTGTTATTCTGCTGGAAATATCAAGGGCATAGCAGTTTTTCTTGTAGTGATACCTGGAAGTACTGGTGCCCCTGGAAGCTGTTTTTGTGCTTGATCTGTTGAAAAAGATGGCAGTCCTATTCTGTGTATGGTAGTGTGTGTGTGTGTAGGTGTGTGAATGCACTCTTTACTGTGTGTGTGTTTATGTGTGTGTACTGTATGTGTGTGGCACAGAAGGATCTCTGAAATCGCAATCAGTTCAGTTCAGTATTTGCCTCCAAGCTTTACCGAATAGTTTTAGTGGTGCATTTTAGGAATTCGCTTGACCCCAATGATGAAAACAAGTGATTAAAGAAAATTAAACCACGTTGTCCTTAAATATGCCATCTATATCTGCTCGTTTGTGTTTGACTAGAAAATGAGCAGGTGTGTTGCAGTTTCAGGTGCTTCTTGTCCCCAGCCGGTAGTGGGATAAGAAAAGCCTCCTGTCGGCTCCGGTTAGCTGCACAGTCCTGTGTCGTCGGGAGAGAATCAAAGCAGCACGCTGGGGGCTGGGGGCTGGGTCATGTGACTGGCTCTTACGTCTCCTCCTCTCTCCTGCTCATCTGCACTGGAGAAAACACTGTAGCTCAGGACGGGCAGCCTGCAATGCCAGCTGCACACTGGTGTGATGGTGCAGTCAGCACATCAGTGCCCTGAAACAGTTCGCTCTCTCCCCTCAGGTGATAGAAAATACTTATTCAAGGGTCTGGCAGTTAAAGAGAAATAAATGCATACAGTCCTGGGCCACCTTGCTAAAAAACTGCACCAATGTGCTATGTATTTTAGAACAATAATCAGGTGAGCTGTTAAAAAAGGGCCATCTAGTTCTTAAACTACTGGAGTTAGAAGAATGAATATAAATACAAATAGGTTACAGGCTTTGTAATAGACTAAGGTAAGAACTGCTAACTGCAGAATCTGCATGCCTTTTCTTTTTTTTTGTTTTATTTCCTCCTACTAGTGCTGTTGATACAGAAGGAGGAGAATTTGTTGTGCCAGGTGGAGCTCAGAATTCCAAGGTCAGCCACAGCGACCTCTGAGGCAGCCCTGTGATTGGTGGACGTGGGGGCTCTCGTTCTGCGCACGGGAGTTCTGCTCCCTCGGTCCGTTTGAAGCCGAGAAAGAAGGGCTGCTTTTCTAAAGCCCTGATCAAAGTTAAATTGACACTTCTCCCCGAGAGGCGGGGTCTGGCGAGAGGTGCCTGCTGAGTGTTTTGCTCTCTGTTCTGAAGCTGGGGAAGGGGGGGTGGGGGTGGTCTCTCTCGCTGCGGAGTCTGCAGCAGCCTCTGTCTATCCACAGGATCGTCAATGCAGAAATGATCAAGTGTCAGAGAGTGCCGCCAGTGAGCGAAGAGCCCCTTGTTAATAATGAACTACGGGCAGCCTTCACATGACAGGAGAGGGAGAGCAGCTCCAGAGCCTGTCAGAGTGGCAAACAGACAGAGCTATTAAAGATTACCGAGCGGTTTTGTATTCTGACATGCTACTCGCTTGAAATCTGGGAAAATTCCTCAATTATTCAGCTGGATTCAGTACTCTGGCGTGCCTTTGAATAAAGGATTTCACTCTTGGACTCTGGAGTGGCTCCCATAAAAGCTTCTGTGCCGAGCTTTATCTCCGGTATTCCTCTTTAGTCTGCAAAGCTGCTGGAATAGTCTGCTGCTGTTGATCACGTGTTCATGTGATAAAGAACTCATTCTGTTAGGTTCCAGCTTTAAAGCAGAGTTGGGGTTATATTTCTGACTTGTCAGTGATGTAAGTGTCACAGTTTGGATTTATATGGAGTCTCGGGAATTGGTCATTTAATCCGGCCTGGGACAGTCCCTGAGTTTAACAGTGAGTCCCTGGTGTTTTGGCAGGTCGTTGCTGCTGGTCATTTTCAGGCCTGGGCCAAATGCTCTGTTCCAGAAACCTTTTTCTTGTCCTGCCTCTGATAGTGACCTGCGATACTTCATTCTAGGCCGCAGGACGGAGTAGTGTACAGTCTGCATTTCTGCTGTGTAGGTGTTAGTGTTACTGTGATGAGCCAAAGTGGTGACTGTTGCTTCCCAACTGGGTGTAGAAACAAACAGTGAAACATAAAATCATAGTGCTTATCTCAGATCGCAGCCAGGCCTAGTGCCCAAAGAACAGGGAGATCAGACGAAGGTTATAGTCAAACACGTGCCCTGAAGTGATTGGATATTTGTGTGATCTGTGTTGTTCTGACTCTGTGAGATTAAAGTGCCCGAGCTGTGGCCCTGAGCATACTGCGCTTCTCTGTCAGAGAGGCGGGAGCTCTCTGCAGTGCTCCCAAGGGGTAATTAAGTGGTGCGGTAATTGAGAGCACTCTTTGTGGGTGTGCCGAAAAGCCAAGCAATGCTTTGTATCTCATGCTCAATGATTGCAGCCATTCTGTCCCTGTAATCATTTCCCAGCTGTTCTCCATGGCTGTGTTATGTACACAGGAGAGTCTAGGCTACAGCAATGGAATACTAATATCCAGGGGTGCTGTACACCAACAAATGCAGTTGAAACTAAGCACCATGCAACGTGGGAGGGTGTAATTTATGTGCTTATCTGTGGATATTGCAGACGTTGCAATCTTAAGGAATATCAACTGCACCTATTTCTGGTGTTGTTCCCTTTTGTGAGTGGAATGTCAATGCACTGATTCAAACATTTAGAAGCTGCTGTTATAGCGTATTGTAAGAAAAAAAGTGAAATCTCCATTTAAAACAAATCAAAATTAGTGAGTGCCTCTGTTCAATGTGCGGGACGTGAATCTGTCAGGACGATGACCAGTCAGGTCAGGGCTGGGAGGCCTTGATCCTCAGCTGGCCAGGGGTCTGTGCATTTGCAGGGTCTCTAGTGAAAGAGCATCAGCCCCCTCCCTACAATTTCTCCTATAGGTAAACAGTTCTGATACTGGCAAGATTTGATGCTGATGTCCAATTAGATCTTTCCAATTGGCCTGGCTGGTGTAACGAGAGCCGGTCCAGGCTCCCGCGAAGTGTAGTTCTGTACCCTGTGCAGACGGTATGATCTGGAAGTGAGTGGAAAAGGACAACGGGGAGGAGACGACGAGGATCAGGAGGGGTTGACAGACAGGGGGGCGTGACGACAGTGAACTGGTGCTCGGGGGGCGTGGCCAGGGCAAACAAGCCCAAGGGAGTCCAGGGGGGAAATCCGGGACGAAGTCCAAGGTCCTAATCCGAGTGACCATCCGATGAAAACAAGACAAAAGTTAAAAACCGGAACAGGATCCAGTACAGGGACGGAGAAATAAAAATAGGATGACGGGACCAGGCGCTCTGAGCCCCGGACTCAGCAGGGTCAAGCCGCGGGCGTAGGGCAACTTGATGGTAGGTGGGCCTCTGGGCGTCCGTCTTCCAGTGTAGAGCCCGGAATAGAGTGAGTGTCTGGCTTAAATAAGGAGGGGTAGGATAGGAGGCAGGTGCACATGATCAACTAAAATGTGAGAGAGCCAGAGCGCCCTTAAGAGGAGGGAAAACTTGGTTGTTCCACATTTTTAAAAAAGCCACAATCAAGCACTTTGAGTAATTAACATTCCTGTTTGGAGGGAAGGTTGTTGTTCTGCTCAGCAGTACTGCAGCTGCTTCACTGTCGCTCTCCTCCCGTGTCTCTGTCTCAGGAGGGGGATGCTCTGGGGGCCATGGAGAAGGTGTGCCGGCAGCTGACCTATCACCTGAGCCCTCACTCGCAGTGGAGACGGCAGGGCCTGATGAAGAGGAAGCCCCAGGCGTGGTGAGTTGCACTCAGATTCTCTGCTCCTCTTGCTTGAAATTTTCACCGTCGTGTCTGACTGTTTTCAGATCTCAACAATTTGCCACTTTCAGGATTTTCTGGGTGACCTGATTGGAAGTTAGAGCAGGAAAATTGTAAATGTCTGATTCTCCTTTTAGCCAGAAACATAAGACGGGAAGATGGCAGGGCGCCACATTGGTCTGCATTGCTGCCTCGTAGCACTGGGGCCCTGGGTTCAATTCTGGACCAGGGGTGCTGTCTGTGTGGAGTTAGTATGTTCTCCGATTTGTGCATGGTTGCATTTGCGTGCGGGTGCTCCCATTTCCTCCCACAGTCAAAAAATATACTGGAAAGTCAGTTGGCTTCGGGGGAAGCTGACCCTGGTGCGAGTGTGTGCGTGTCTGTGTGTCTGCCTGCAGTGGAGTGGTGTGCTGGGTTCCCCTCAGCCCTGACCCGGATGAACCGGTCAGTGAGTGGGTGGATGAGCAGATGGATAAGATGGAGTGGGATGCAGTGGGACATGATGAACAGGGCTGGGCAGACCAGTGAGGTGGCTGAAGGGATGAGATGAACGATGCTGGAAAGTGAAATACTCTCTCCGACAGGGAGACGGTCAGAACCCTCACATTCCTGGACTGGAGCGCATCGCATCGACACTTCTTCAGCTCTTATAGTCTGATTCCACAAGGGGTGCAACCCAGAGGAGATTTGTGGCATTTGGAATTTAAAAATGCCTCTTCGTTTCTAAAATAATGTCATATTCTCTCAGATATAGTAATAGCCTGCACACACATACCTTGTTTTCAGAAATCATTTGTTGGTCCCGATACAAACACGATACATACAGTATTTCTATTTGTTTTTATTGTTAGACTCGTAGCATCAGACAAGCCTGGCATCCGATGCATAGGACGATGCAAACTAATTAAAGCTCCACTTTTTTAATTGGAGTGATTAGCTGTCTCTCATCAGTCCTTCTTAACTGCTCTAGGAAAATGCAGATAAGGAGATGAAACCCTACAGCTTCGGCCTTCTGGCAGCTTGGGGTCACTTCTGTCCACAGCCTGAAGAGGAATGGCTCCTGTTGCTTGGCAAGGACTCAGACTACCCAGTAATAAAGGGACACATCAGCTTATACTTTCTTGAGCAAATAAAGAAATAAAAATGCCCGACATTAATGCTGCAGGAAGCTTTGAAATGTTCCTGTCTCTCTGTTATTTCAGTTGCAATACGTGATCTGCTTGAGCAGATATTGTTCTCCATTCTGAATGTACATAAACCTACTCAATTTGTTTCTGGTTTGAACAGAGCAATCTACAGCACTTTACTGTTCCATTTTGCCCAGGAGAGTGTTTTCTAAATTGCTTTGAAAACATTTGCTTTTGAAGATGGGAATTCTTATTTAGAGCATTTTTTTCCTCCATCCTCAGTACTTGGTGTCTAGTGCTGTGTGGACTGCTGTACGCGGGAGTGAATGTAGCAAGGGACGGGTTGCAGCACTGGTTTTGTTCCAAAGACAGATAAATACCCACCTGAGACCTTTTTAACGATGTCTGAGGAAAACACAGCCAGTGTTTGTGCCAGCCGAACGTTAACTCATTTTACTCTAATTTCTTAAGTGCTAAAATAGGAGAATCAATGTCTGTCAGAGCGAGTCCAGACAGCTATCAGGAGCCACTCCAATTGTAGAATTATCACTGCTGCAGGGCAGGTGTTTGTTCTTTGGGCAGAATGCAAAACAAACTTAATTGTGGGAGCAGCTGACTACGCTCTCTTCTTCAAGACTCAGTTAATAAATGAATTGGGCTGCCCACACTTACATCTCCGGCATCAAGAGAGTCAGAGCCTCACAGTGCCTCACAGAGCCTCATAGTATCACAGGGCCTCACAAAGCCTCAAAGGCCCTCGCGGTCTCCCAGGGCCTCACAGAGCCTCACAGTGCCTCACAGAGCCTCATAGTATCACAGGGCCTCACAGAGCCTCAAAGGGCCTCACAGTCTCCCAGTGCCTCACAGAGCCTCACAGTCTCCCAGGGCCTCACAGAGCCTCACAGAGCCTCACAGGGCCATACAGAGCCTCACAGTGCCTCACAGAGCCTCATAGTATCACAGGGCCTCACAAAGCCTCAAAGGCCCTCACGGTCTCCCAGGGCTTCACAGAGCCTCACAGTGCCTCACAGAGCCTCATAGTATCACAGGGCCTCACAGAACCTCAGAGGGCCACACAGTCTCACAGGGCCTCACAGGGCCTCACCCGGGTGGGGATGCACAGGGCACTGGGGGGCAGAGGAGGGGAGATCTTAGAGGCTCCTCTTCCAGTTCTCCGTTTTCTTGGGATTTCTCTCTTCTCTTCTCTCTTCGGAGACCTTGGCGAACAAGCAGATGCTGGTCGTTTAATGTGTCTTGAGCTCTGCTGTGGAATTAACCTGCCCACCTTTCTTCTATCTAGAATGCGCTCATTTAATTGTTCACACTGCCTGCGGTAAACTCACATCTTAACATTGCAGGAAGGTCACAGTGCCTCGGAGTCTCAGATTTATGTGTTTTAGTTTAATTGTTACCTGGCCCTTGGTTGTTTTGTGGAGAAGGCCTGCTCTCAGTGTGTTGCAGGAGTGACGTGTCCATTGGTGTTGAAGTTGAATCTGGGCCACAAGGGTGGTCTAGCTGACCAGAAGCACAAGAGGGTTGCTTTCCCCCGGCAGCTTTCACCTGTAGACATTGTGGGATCTGTACCGTCTGTCTGAAACTAATCCCATTGAACATTGATACAACACTTTCACGATTTTTTAGTCATAAATAATAGCAATAGTAAAGGAACACAGGGCTGTTTGTTTTAAGGTGGCACTGAACAACCTCTCTACAATGTGCACTGATGTCTCAGCCTCTCACTACGCTCCTGTGCACACTGTGCACATGGGGCAGCCGGCACTCATCACTGCTCACTGCTGTGCCTCTCGCCGTCCTAGACTGATGTCCTCCTCTGTGGCCTTGAGTGCAGAGTGGCCTGGGGGGGTCCGTTTCCCTGCTTGGCGGAGCGTTAGAGACGCCTGCCCAGGCTGTCCCTGCTGAAATCCAGCTCTCAGCGGCGCTTTAGCTGTGTTTACTGTCATGGGAGAGGCAGAGGTTAGTGTTGAGTCAGCCTGATAGAAACCAGGACCCTCTGGGACTGGCAGCGATCTGCACACAATGTCATTAAGTTTTAACGTTCCTCCCTAATGATATAATTGCAGTCTGACCACAAATCATGCGTTCCCCTCCCCCCATCTGAGCTGTTCTTAGGCACTGAGCAGCAGGACACTCAATGCGTGTAAAGGTGTGAATGCCCTTTCACTCTTTTTGCTGTGAGATTATTTCTTCCATTTCGGCATCAGTACAGTAAGTGTGGCCTACTATAGAGCAGCAACACCTAGTTGAAATATGCGTAACACATTCCCCGCACAGGGGGCACCATGTCGTTGAGGGCACTGGAGCTCCTGCCTGCAACTTCAGGAGGGTGAAAAGCTGGGAATTCAGAATAGAAAAGAACAGGAACCTCCTGTCTGGTTCCTGCGGGTCATGTCTCTTTGCCTGTCCGGAGTCAATTACTGTGGCCCTGAGACCCATTTCCTGCCCTCCACTGACAGCAGCGCCCAGAGAGGCAGGAGGCAGCCCAGTGAAGAGAATGGCAAATTCAACAGCAGCACTGCCGCCTTGTAGCAGCCTGGTCTCATCATCAGCGGCTATTAACAAGAGGAGGCCTTTCAGCCCAGCCAGCCAATTCATCCAAGGATCTGATCCCGCCTCTTCTTCAAAGGAGCCAGGGAATCGATCGGCTTTGAACAGGCAACCCAGCAATTTTCCACTTTCAAGAATTTATAGGTAACCTACATTTTCCAGCAGAAAGAGGGAAATACAGTTTGAAAATTTCTTATGTGCCAGTTGTGAGCTCCATTTAAGCTCCAAAAAAATAAAGAGAGGGCTCAGCCTGAGCTGCGAACATAAGACACTGGATTTATATTTACAGCTACGTCTTGGATGGGATTGCTCTCTTGGCTTAGCAAAGTGTTCAGACAGCACGCTCAATTTTCCGTTTACATTTAAATTTAGTTCTGATTTTCTTAAAGGAGAAGTGTCAGTTTAGTTACAGTAAGGGCTGAATGCTGTCTAGATGTCCTTGATCAAACGACTAAGGCAGATCCACTGATGTTGAGGGCAGTCTCCTATAATTATTGTCTTGCGGTTATTTTCTCTGGTTCGCAGAGCAGCACAGCTATAGTCCTGTAGAGAGACTCCGCATTCAGGCAGGAGTAGCCTCTGTTCGCCCCAGCGTCTTCCGGCAGGGTTATTCCAGCAGCACGGCAGAACTCTGACCTTAAAAAGAAACCAGAATCTTGTAAGTTTGCAGATTTGCCAGCAGGATAATCACAAACTGGAGATTAGGCTTGAAGAACTTTTCTGGTCTAGGGGCTGGAGAGGACCCAGCCTGGATTGTTTAATCCAGAGGTCCAAATCAGAAATAAGTTATTTTAAAAACACTCAGTTTCGCTCTGTCACGGATGTCGGAAGGGACGAACCGTGGAATGGCAGGCGAGACAGGGGTTAGCCCGGGCTCAGCTGTTCAGGAAATGCCGTATAGAAACCTGTGCCCTCAGGTAGCGGACATGGGGCGACCTGGTGCTAGGCGGGTCTCAGGACATCCGAAAGTCCATGCTGAGCGAGTAGCAGAGCAGAAGCAGGAAATAAATAGGCTACACAACAGGACACACCAGAAAGAGAAGAATAATCACAGGGAACTAGGAACAGGAGGAAAGTAGAGCGTGCTGTACTGGGCGTGACACCCTCACAGTCTAGTCCTTTAAAGTGAAAACATTGAAATCATTATCTGAAAAATGTTTGCTAAAGTGAACTGAAAATTAAGGGACCATTGATTCAGCAGGGAAACTGATGGGAAGGGAATCCTGCTGTGGTGTAGCAAGAGAGAATGAGAGTGAGGTGAGGAGTGAACAGGGGTGGAGAGTGAGG